AATCCTTTGAACCCATGCAAAAAGCTGAGTTTGGCAGTGTGCCCTGTAATCCCAGTGCTACAGTGTGGGAGACAGAATCCTTGGGGTTTGCTGGGTAGCCATTTTAACCAAATCATGAACTCCAGGTTCAGTGAGATATCCTCTCTCCTCAAATAGAATGGAGAGCAACTGAGAAAGATTATAGTGTTGATCTGGCTCCTACACACATTCAGATACATATGGGGCCACACACGCATGCACGCATGCGCGTGCATGTGCGCGCGCACACACACACAAACACACACACACACACACACACACCACCCAGAAACGCTCACACACACACAGCTCAATTATGTACATATACATTAGCTATGTATAAAAAGGACTGTGCCCTTTACAATAACAGCTGTCATTTGCAAGCCAGCTGTGTAACAGGTACATACTGTTTTAACTCTGTAGTTCCTATGTAGAGTGATTGACTTGACCTACTTTTTCTGAGAATGGTCTAAGTTTACAATGGAAAGTCTTGAATCTTCAGGATCATCTCAGTTGAGGACTAAGTAAAACATTTCTTCACCCATCAGTATATGGTCTCATTTTACAAGGATGGAATCGGAGGCTTAGATGCAAACTGCCTAAAATGTTAAAAATGGGAAAGAATCAGTCTGGTATTCAAATCCAGGCTGAGTACATCCCAAGCCAGTGCTATCTGTGGTCCTAAACTCATTTCCGTCAGTGTTGATTCTCTTACTGTGTTACAAGAACATTTTGAACTTTACAAAAATTCATACGTCAGATCACATTTTTCTAACCTTTAATGATAATTTCAGGAATGCATGTGTGTGTGGGTGTTTGTATATGTTGGAGAATGAGAAATGGTGATAATAAGAATGAAAGTCTAAACTCTGGCCTTTATTTAAAAGAATATCCAGGGTTTTGTGAATACAGAAACCATTCATGAGTTACTTATTCAACAGGTACACAAGAAGAGGTGCTGTGTGTAAGGTTATTTGGGAAGATATACTCTGTAATAGGAGTATGAAGAAGCACTTGTAAAATAGAGCTAGAACTTTTGTACTAGTGGCAAGTTGCAAACCCATGCCCTGCAAGGACATTGCCCAGCTGCCCTCTCATGAAACCCTTGATCTACATGAGGCCACCTGGGCCTTCCTTCATGCTTTCTAGCTACCCCATCCCCATTCTCTCTTCCTTCTTTCTTGCTCCTTCTTTTTCTCCATTTGTATTAGCTGCTATCTTTGACTGGAGGGTTCATTCCCCTTTCCTTTGTTATTTAGAGGAAATGTCACCTCTTCAGGAACAATGGAAGAGTTGTCACCGGCTACTTGTGCTGGCTAGTTTTATGTCAACTTGACACAAGTTAAAGTCCTCTGAGAGGAGGAACACCAACTGGGAAAATGCCTCCATAAGATTAGGGAGTAGGCGAGCCTGTGGGACATTTCTTAATTAGTAATTGATAGGGGAGGGCCCGGCCCCTTGTGAGTGGTGCTATCCCTGGACTGGTGGCCCTGGGTTCTATAGGGAAGTGAACTGAGCAAGCTATAAGGAGTGAACCTGTAAAAAGCACTTCTCTAGGTCTCTGTACTAGGCCTGCCTCCAGGTTCCTGTCCTGTTTGAGTTTCTGTCCTGGCTTCCTCCAATCAACTGTGATGTGGAAATGGAGCCAAACAAACCCTTTCCTCCCCAATTTTCTTTTTGGTCATGGCGTTTCATTGCAGCAATAGAAACCCTACTTCCAGCCACAGTTTTGATTATGAATGAATATGTTCACTACCCAGTCCTTATCTCCTATACACATTGCTCTTTGGTCTAGCTTTTCCAAACTGCAATCAGAAAGAAGGGGTAACCCATTTAATTTATTCCTTGTTTTGTCTTCAGCTGTATTTCTGGGATTTTAAACAATGCTAGGCACACAGAAGCAAACTAAACATTCAATAAATGAGAAAAATGAATTGATAGACAACTGTTTTTGGTTGTTGAAGGGCAGCTAACTCCACATGAGGCAGTCATCAGAGCGTGACTTGAAGGGACATCTTCACCCAGCCTTTTTTTTTTTTTCTAGTTACAACAATAGTGCATCCCCACTTTAAAAAACGATGACAGTCATTAAAATGTAAACGGAATTAACACTAATCTTTATTAGACTCGTAATATTTATGCTGTACATTTTCTCCTAGATCATCGTCTTTGATTGAAGTCCATACACGTTGTTTTAAGACAAAGTCTTGTTTTAGCACCACCTGGACTTGAACTTGTGATTCTTTTATCACAGCATCAACTGGAATTATGCGTATGTACCAATACATCAGGTTCTCAGATAGCTTCAAACCAAAGAGTAATACACTCCTTTATTTATTTTTTTTAAATAGTTCTATATTTTGAAGCTGTGTGCTTTACCTTATTTTTCCATTATCATTTTAAGGATTGATTTGTTTTTCATCAAAATCGATACATTGTGATATATCTAGTTAAATCCATGTTTTTGGAATTCATTATGAAAATCATGTGTGTGAGTGTGTGTATAAGTATGTGTGTATAGGTGTGAGTGTGTAGGTGTGTGTGTGTGTATGGGGTGTGAGCATGTGTCTGTGTGTGTGTGTGTATGTAGATCAGAAGTCAATGTTGGGTGTCTTCCTCTTTTCCTTCCTACCCTATGTTTTTGAGACAGGGTCTCTCACTCAATCTGGATCTTGATATTTCAGCTCAACTGTCTGGCCAGTGAATCCCAGGGATCATTGTGTCTGCACCCTTGTCCATGAGTGCTGGGAACACAGGTATGCAGTGCCACACCCAGCTTTCCATGAGTGGTGGGGATCCAACCTCAGATCCCTGGGTCTGTGTAGCAGGCACTTGGTCACTCTGAGACTCTTTTGTGGCCTTTTCTTTTCACTTTCTGTTTTTTTTTAAATTTGTTTATTTTTCATAAACAACCAGAGAACATAAATCATACAGACTTTATTTTATTTTACAAATTAAATGATGGAATGGAAGAGAAGTGCTTAGGCCATTGTTAAGTGTGCAATAAATGTTAGATGGCCTTGGTACTGTCCTGTGCACCAACTCCTAGAAGTCCAATGTGCTTTCCAGTTTATTTTAAAGGCAAACATAAACTAGCTGTAAAGATGGATGGGAAGGAGGCTATAGCCTGAGGAAATGAAGTTGGAAAAATTCAGTTTTTAAATCATAGAAGAGCTGTGAGTTCATACTGCACCAGCCAGAAACTTCAAACTATAAAAACTCATAGTAACTGTGGCTGGGCTCTGTCACCCAGACGGCACATGTTCCTGCTTTGCATCGTCACTGGAAATACAGGTGCCTCTCAGTATCCCTGAGAGTCTGAGTTTAAGATCTCCCTGGAAACTTGAATCCACAAATGCTCAAGGCCCTCACACAGAACAGTAGTATTTGCACAGACTACATAACATCCTCCTCTATATCTTATCATCTTTGGATTATTCATAAGCGCCAATATAACACTTATGCAAATAGCTGTTGCCTAGGCAACCAATCTAGGCAGGATTGATTGTGGCAAGTGCAAATTTATCGAGAGCATACTAACCAGTTCACCTGGGTGTTGGAGACTGGAATTCCTTTAACTTGATAAGGGAGTAGAGAAAAGTGAATATTGATCCCCAGACAGCAAATTTAGGTATCACTGTATGAGGATGTGGGGGCAGGGGTGCTTCTGGAAAATGACTGGGGTTGAAGATAATGATTTGATGAATGGCAGAGAAAATATTTGAGACCTTGGTAATGGAGATCACCGAACACAGTAAAAGCTAGCTTTCATTTTCTTCTGATAGTTACAAGCTCATTACAAAATACCCATTTTGCTTTCAACAGATGCTACTGATTGATGTCCTGCGTAATTCATGGATTTTTATTTGTAGTAAACAACATTAAACTTGTAACATGAAACTAATGCTAGAGTCATGCACAGATAATATCATATTTTTAAAAGTTGGACTAGACAACTAGAAAAATTAAAAAGAATATCTTACAAAATTATAATTTATATTTTTATAAATACTTTAAGGATAAGAGTGGTTCACATGTGGTGACATTAGAGGGATGTACAAATTGCACTTTGTAGCATATTTTGTGATCTTTATTTATTAGACAGACATATGTACATATGTATGTCTTGTGTTTTCATAGCTATGATCAAAGGATGTATTTTAAGCAGGTCTTCAATAACTTTAAACTCTCACAAAATTTGTGTATTCTGCCCTTCCTTCTCTAAATTGCACTAAAAGCATATTTGAAAGTCATCAGAGATTGTAATTAGGTGGCATGGGCCTCAGTGTACTGTTTAGGTATGAGAGCATACCTGCTGAATTATGAAAGAGTGAGCCTTAACAGCCGTCAGAATGCAAATGATGGGCTGAGAGGCCCTGCCATCTCTGCTCTGGGAGTTTTTGCTTCAGCTTCTTTCAGTTGGAAAGGAGTCAGTTTGTCTACAGAGGAGAAGGTTCATGACACCAGTTCCACTTAATTAACAGACATTTCACGGCTGTAGACACAGCACACTTCCTACCACTAAGTAGAAAATTAGTCTCTGGTCTTCATGTTCAAGAGCTGAGTGTTTCCTTTGACTGTAGACTTGGGAGTGCAGAGTTGACCATTCCCAAGGAGCTCAGTAGAGACCCCTCAAGTCAACCTCAGTATATGGTGAACTATATGTGCATGTTCAATGTGGTCTTAGATTTCACTATGTTGTTCATTTCTTTGACATTCATTGGGATTGAACAGGTGCACAGAAAATGAGTGGAATGTGACACATTCTACAGATTAAACCATCTATCTGACTTCAATTTATACAAATTTACATTTGCAGTAACCAACACAGGGTAGCAAGATACCCTTAAGTCACATCTTGAGCTTACCTCGATTCCAAGTTTACATTTGGAACACTTTTCATAAAATAGACACATATAAGTGACCTCATATGATCACAGAAACATAATGGGACACTTCTTCATTATGTTTATATATATATATATATTCAGGAGATGCTGGGCCATGCAGCAGCAACAGTTTGCCTCCATTCGTGTGCTTTATTGGACATGGGTTACATTTCTTCTCTGCTGGTCTTCAGCTCCAGCTCCTGGAGGAAGGCCTCATTGTTCTGAGGGCAGTTGGAGTGACAGGTGCAGGTTCCAATGACCATGACCTGTTTCTTGATGCTTTGCCCTGGGGAGCACCAAAACTCCACCTGGATGGTTTTGGTGTTGTGGGGGGTACAGCACCGGCCATCGCTGCAGACCCCACAGAACCGGGGCTTATAGGTATGCAGGCTAGTGCAATTCTTGAACTGCAGGTGGATGGCTTTCAGGGACTTCTTGGTGCGGTGACACTTTTTACCTTTCTAAGAAAGAAAAGGAAAAGAGTACTGAGTGGAAATCCTGCATCTCCTCTGAAGGACCACTTTAGAGGTTGCCCCACCCACCCGATATCCTTTGCTCTTTTTTCTTTTTAAACAAATCATTTACTTTATTTGGACAATCTTGTCAGCTAACATCAGTTGCTTCCCCAGAGTACCTAGGAACATTTAGCCAATAATAACATAAATCCAATAATTCTGGACAATCCTCTGCCTTTTAGACAATTCTTATTTGTCTCTTACATTCATTTTCTTTTCTGGGTAGAATTTGAACATAATACTAAATATGCAGAATCCCGCTTTGTCTTTGAGGATACAAACATGAAAAAGAAAGAATCTCTCTCATTTAAAGCCATTTTTTTTTTTTTTTACTTAGCTAAATGCATTCTTTGATGCTATCGCAAGAAGGATTTAATGTGGTGTTATTAGAGTCTATTAATGTTTCAGAGACTTTTCAGGCATTAGTTCATTTAATGTCAACAATATTCATTCACATAAGAAGTAACTGTTAATACAAGGCACAACTGACCCAGTTTTATTTGAAAAACAGAGTCTCAAAAGACTGATGGTCAGAAAAAAAAAAAAAGTCAAATTTTGGAATTCATCTGATGCAAACCAATTCCTTCTAATACATTATGACCTTGGAAATTCTAGGCCAGTGAAATTTAAGATTCTTTCTATGAATCTGAATTTTGTGTGGAGAGTTTATTCGATATCCTACCAGTTCAGATAATAAAGAAACCACCCAATCTCATTAAATAAGCAAACAAATGACTTTCATTTCCTACTGCACTTTGATTTTGCCTCAGACCTCCACTGCACACTCTCCTGGGCGAGTCTCATGGTATGCAGGGTGATGATTAGGAATTCCTTCATGTCAGTGGTTCTCAAACTCTCATGCACATTGGCATCATCTTGGGGATTTGTTAGAATTGGTCCTATAACCAGGGTTAGCACATGTGATGCGAGGCCCAGGAATCTGCAGATGCTACTGTTTACCCGGGGGACTACACAAGAAGAACCTCAGTCATAGACTTAAGAAATCTCAGAAACAAGAATCTAGTTCGACATTCTATACACATTTCCAGATCCTGTATAAAATACGTACGTCATGTAAATGTATATATTTCCCAATATAGTATAGTATTTCCCGATATAACATGGGATGTTAAGCTAAAAGAAACATCAGTTGCTCAAAGGAACAATGCAAAAGACCAAATTTTAGAAGTATTATATAAAAAGGTCTTCTTTAATAAAGAAGTAACTATGCTCATGAAAATACTGAAGGTCCTATTCTCCTTTTTCTGTAGTTAATGTTCAGGATATATTTTTTCAATGGTCGCTGTGAATTGTGTGTGCATACAGGTAACTGTGTGACTGATTCCACGGGTGAGCAATCATTATGAAAGCGCACATGTATCTCCTGGAGTGTCAGAAGGTGCATTTCTAGGGTATAACTTTGGAGAAAAGGTGTTCCTAAGTGGTTTTTCAAAATCTGCAGGAGGAACATAAAGTTGAGACAAGTCTCTTAGATTATATAGCTGAACAGCCACATACCCAACGAGATCACAACGGACTCTTGTTTTAGCGGTAGGGAAAAAAATTTACGGTTTTGATGGTTAACATTAATAAATATTACATCTATGTTCCACATTTTGCAAATTCATTTTATTTAATCCTTATGAAATCCTGAAGATAGATGTTTTTCTTTTCTCTTTCTTCTTTCTTTTGGAGGTAGGATCTTTCTATATAGTCCTGTCTTTCCTAGAAGTCTCTTATGTAGATCAGGATGGCCTCAGTGTCACAGAGTTATGTCTGCCTCTGCCTCCCAGGTGCTGGGATTCAAGGTATGTGGGACTACACCAAGCAAGAGATATTATCAATTGTCACACTCCATGGGGAAAGAATTGAAAATAAATTGTCCAGTGTCACACAGCTAGCTAGGTCATATTGAAAGGACTTAAAGCCAGGCTAAACTGGTCTAGTGTTGTCCCATTAAATGTTATATGATGCTGCTTCAGAGTAGAGATATAGAGTTTCTAGGATCTGTTCTGTTTTGGCCTCAGGCTGATATATGGATCTATGTAATGGTTAATCTGATATTACATCTGTCTGGTCCAGTTCTACAACAATACCAGTTGTATCATCAGGAACCAAATTAGGGCTCTTAATCTTCACACCTTATACCCAGAATCAACATACTGTGTTGACATAATTCCACCCTCCTCCCCCCCCAAAAAAAAAAAGAAAAAGAAAAAGAAAAGAAATAGGCTGTTTCATTAGGCTCAGGTTGCCTTACTCTGGCAAATGTATTGTTTTTACCAGGCTTTTAAAAATATTGTTGATAATTCCCAGACACCCATTCAGCTATGTACTGACAGCTATTTACTGTGTACACAATATGTTCCAGGGATCACAGTAGGAGCTGGAGGCTTTAAAGCGAATAAAGCAGACACAGCCTCTGTTCTGCTTCTTTCTATAGGTAAATGACCTGACTTATTTAATGGCACCTGATTTATTTAAAAAACTAACCTTGCTAAAGTCAAGCTTTACTTGACAACTGGAGAGCTATTTTTTTTTTTTCCTTCAGGGATGGGATGGGATTTACCAGAGCATCCTCATTTGGATAAAGTATTAGAGTTGTGTGCCCTTTCCTATTTATTTGTAGAACTGCTGTGAGTTGCTTCAGGGCATTTGTGTATATTAAAGAAGAAAGAAAGTATGGTTTTGATTCAGGATGCTCCATGCCCTTTGTCTGGGTTAATACTCAGCAGGAGCAGATGTTTCACTAGTGTGACAGTGCCTTTCTGAAGGCCAGGCTTCAAGAAACCACTGCTGTGAAAGTGATAGGCTCCATCTAGACTCCTACCTTTTCTGTTGGCTGCATGGGCTCTTGTTCACAAGGCCGAACCATGCAGAGACGAGTCTGCTTCACCATCTCACACTGGCGATTCCTGTTGGTGACCCGGGTGGACAAGCCCATCCCACAGCTCTTGGAACATGCACTCCACTCTGTGGTCTGCTCAATGCAGTTGATACTGGAGTCAGAGACGTCAACTCCTACAGTGGCATCTGGCCTGTAGGCTATGGAAGGCATAACTACAGTTATTTGAGTAAAATGTTGAGATAGACATGTGTTGTCACATAACACTGGAGAGTGAATTCTAATTCTGTAGTGAACATATACCAGGTCTTGCAGGGCATAGAACTAGTAAATCCCTAACAGTCAAGGCACAATGCAGAACTTCAAGAAATATTTGTGCATGTGACCCTAAGAAGCTTAGGACAACTTGTCATAGAAACTTAGAACCATATAGCATCATCAGCTGTATGTTTTAAACATGTGATTTGGTACAACAGGAAGGTCATACTAAGAATTTCATTTTTTGTATATACATACATACATACATACATACATACCTACACACACACACACCACATATGTGGTGTGTGGCCATGTGTTTAAAGGTGTACATGCATGTATATGTATATATATATATATGTGTGTGTGTGTGTGTGTGTGTGTGTGTGTGTATGGAGGCCATAGGAACTCATTTACAGAAATCTTGAGCTAATTGATTAGGTTAGTCTAGCTAGCCAGTGACCTCAAGTGACCTGTAGATCTCTGCCTTCTCGGCATTAGAGTTACACATAAGGTATTTTTTTAAGGGTCCTGGGAATCCAAGGAAGGCCCTCACACTTACACTGTAATAGCTTGACCATTTGAGCTGTTTCCCCAATGTTACATTTTAATTTTGGTGAGTAAATAGAGCCAGTCAAATCAAAAATCCAGGAAAGGGATTTTTACTCAGGTTCAATCAGGAGAGACAGAGTCAAAAAATACCCACCCAATAGAGCAAAAATGAAGAGAAAGTGACTGATTCAGTCAGACCCCTTTACAAGAGAAGCTGTGTGAATATTTCTGTAATCTGCCTTAGACGTAAATAAATGATATATTTGATCCCAGTGGGCAATCTGAAATTCACAACGGAATGGCCAGAAGCAAGCCAGCTTCTGATCTCAAATCCCAGAGCCATGCCTGCTTTGTGACTGCCTTTACCCTAACTCCCCTCTGTCTGCCAAGTTCCTCACCTGGAAGGGCCAGGCCTCCCAGCGTCCCCTGCTCATTTGGACCACAGGTCCACTTCTCACAGCACTCCCCAGGCACTGCAACTTTCCTTGGAGTTGGGCAGTCAGGACCAGGCAGTAGTACATCCAGCTGGCAGCGGGGCACACAGCCAATCTGCCCATCTCTACAGGTGCAGTGATATTGACAGTTTGGTTCAAAGTTCTCTCCGCTGCGGTAAATGACCCCATCAAACACACAGTTGTCTCCTTCTAGAACTGGAATATTCAGGGAAAAAGGCAGAGGGAAGAGAAGAGAGAGAGAAAATCAAAGCACAGTGTAACTGGAAAGCTGTGTAAGAATGGAAGGACATGGTCAGACCTTACTCCTTTTCTAGTTCAGATGACTGGCTTCTGCATCTCAGGGAGAAATGGGCCCTTGTAGAGGCACCAGTCCCACCTGGCCCTGAGTTTCTTCACCTAGTTCTTATGAAGGAGCAAAGCGGCAGACACTGTGGACATACATGTTCTGGCTAACTGATGGCGTCTAACACATCTCTACTTCCCTTTTCAAAGCTCATACCCCCGAAATGATCTCATTTCTGTGATAGAGCAAAGGCAAGAACAAATGGTGATGTCACACTCCAGAGACCCTAGTGCCAATGATCATTTCCCCCAAACTGTCTCTGGTTCTTCTATAGTCGTTTAGGATTTAAAACCAAATACTTTCACTGGGCAGATTAGAAAGGGCATTAAGAGTTCTTGACATTGAAGCACACACAGTGTGTGCCTGGAGGAAAGAAAGAGAAGACTTTCTTCAAACTCTTACCAAGGGAGGTAGGGACCACTCTGATTATAGCAGTGTGTCTCGTGCGTGGGGAGTTGATCTCCCGTTGATTAATTTTCATGAGCCTGCATTGGCTAGTTGCCTGCATTTTATTTTACTGCAGCCCAGACAGGAGTGACATAGTCCTCCCAGGAGACAGGAATTGCTTTGGCTCAAGTAGGACAATTACAGGTGTGAAAATAAATGTGCTGGGCTACAGTCTAGGGGAACCCTAGGCCTATGAGTAAGCCCATACTTCTATCACCCTGAGTTCCCTTGAAAGTGACCAATGAAATGATTTCATTGGCCCTTAAACTCTTCTTTTGTTTCCTGTTTAGGCAGCAAGAGGCATACCTGCTCTGGGCATGTTTCCTTTCAGTCTGATGCCTGGTACCCAGTAAACTCTCCATATTTGTCACGTACTGTACTATATTATTGCTACAAATGCTTTTGCTTAGTTCTCTCCAGGAAAGGATAGAAGAGGCAAAGGGAGGGAACAGTTTCACCTAGCTGCCCAAGGAGAGGTCCAGCCACGAAGGGGAACAGCAGGCAGGGTGGACAGGATTACCCATGCATATGCCAGTCTGGTTGCTGGGGTCTGCGCTGCGGTCACAGTAGAGGCCGCTCCTCTGGTCGCAGGGCTTCAGCTCAGAGCAGCTCTCTCCCCGCTGGCGGGCGCACACTAGACAGCAGGAGCAGCCATCCAGCACGGAGCGCACCCCGGGGGCGCACGTCGGTGGTGTAATGGGGCACTGGAGCGGGCACGAGGGCGGGCAGCGCTGAGTTGCAGACACCTAGGAAGAGAAGCAAGACAAGAAAAGGAACCCTAGTTATCTGGGACAAAGGAAGGCAGAATGATCCCGGGACTGATCGGGGCCAGTTTAGAAGAGCAAAGTAACCCGGGGCATCTTAAGCACGCGCCACTTACTTGATTTAAGAGATGGAAGAGCAGGAAGCCTAGGCAGAGGCGTCGGTTTTGCAGGAAAGTACCCATGGTCTGCATGCTCATCATGCTAAGGCTGTCACGGATTGGAAACGGGGACTGCCCCTTCACTCAGGTCAGGCTGAGCAGGGAGCGCCACTCGTGCAGGTTTTATAACGCTCTCCAGGAACGCGCACAAGCCGGTTGGCTGCGCTGGGAGGGGGTGGGGGGGAGTCAGCTGGGTGGAGAAGTGGAAGGAGCTCCGATGTTGCCATGGTGACGGGCCCCAAGGCTGCTCTCCTTAGGGCGTGGAGCCCGGTCTGCGTGTGCCTGTGTGTGGCGACTGGCTTTTCCCAGAGCACCGGGAGGGGCTGGGTGGAGCCCTGAGGCCAAGACCCAGAGAGCCAGCTACAGCTCGTGGGAAGGAAACGCCCTCTTCCTCTGTGTAGTTGTTGCACCTTCCCCCAGGAGTAAGACATCGCTACTTCCTCCGCCCTTGCTATTCTGTTCGAGAACCAGGACTATAAATGCGGAGCTCTTGACCAGGATGCCTGAAGTTTGGGGCCATATGAGCAGGGCAGGTATTGGCCAGAGGCCCAGAAGTTTAGTCATAAGGGAAGCACATGCAAGTTTGTCACTGTTTATTAGGGCACTCTTTGACATGTGCTAAGGGGGTGGGAATGAGGAAAGGACACACACACACACACACACACACACACACACACACACACACACACACAGTCAGAGTGGGGGATGCTAATGGACAAATGGCCAAATTCTTCTGATTGCAAACATTCCAAGATTTGCAAAGTCTTAAGACCCAAGTTCTATATGCTAGGTAGAAATAAACACAAAACAGTGAAATACAAATAAAAAAACGGGGAAGGGAGAAACATCTCGCGGTATAGGGAAAGTCTTGAAACACCTGCTATATCGTACCAAATGTAAAACCGTTTCAAACAGTCCAAGTTCCCATGAAAGCCTCACTGGGTTGCACTCAGCGCCCCGAAGAATTGAGAAGGCTTTTGCTGGCCTAAACTGAATAATAGCTCTCCAACCTACTATTCATTTACAAAAAAAAAAAAAAAAAAAAAAAAAAAAAAAAAAAAAGAAAAGAGAGGGGAGGGGGAGGGAAGAGAAGAGAAGGGGAAAGGGAAGATGGTCTGCTGTGGTATGATTGGTGGTTTTACTCCAGCAAAGATGACCCTGTGTGACAGATTTAAAATAGGTTTTCCTCCTGTACTTCAACGCTGCACCCAAGAAAGCTATGCCAGGCCCTGTTGAGGATACTTTGGAAAGACACTTTGTGAGAAAAGTTATATAGGCCTGTAATGTAATTCTAGACCTTACAAAGAAACACATTACTGACCTTCAATAGGAGAGAAACAAATGGCAGCATGTATAGCGAACCGGGGCTGTCTCTACAATGCTCAAAGAAGGCACAGTCACTTTCACTGCTGTTATGGTAATTTCATTTTATTTTATTTTTGTTTTACAGTTTGGAACCGCCCAGATGCACTCCCACAGGGGCTGTCAATTCTGCTTTCTTTGTGAAGCATCCAATGTTTACCCAGAGGTGGGAGCGCTGATTTGCACTTCTGATTGGGGGCATGCATATATTTGCCAGGTTAATGGGCTTCATGCATCACTTGGCTTGGTGATGCCACCATTTGGCTACACATCAGAGTCAATTAGAATGTGTGCTTTCCCAAATTACAGATTCTTGGGCCTGACCTTTGCCCTTCTTCTTGGTGGTTCTTGGTATGCTAAATGTGTGATAAAATGGAGGCCAACTTTGGGGAAGCAAGTAGGAGCAGAGCTAGAGGGGAGGCAAGGCGTTGGGCACATTCCCAAAGTGTGCATAGACTAAGATAGGGCGAGGACAAAAGGGCACTTGGTTGGGCTAACTCCTGGAATGGGTGGGGAGGGGAAGAAAGGTGTGACTTGAAGACAAGGATGGAAATGGCTGCTAGGACTCCCTCTGGTGAATTAGAGAAACTAAACTTGAATAAGTTTTGCCTCAAGGAGGGTTTTATTAGAAGGATGCTGTGATGTTTCCATAGTAACTAAATGGGATTAGTGCAACTAGCTAGCCTTGCAAGCTATCAAGACCAAGTCTCTGTAATAGTCTTTACAGCTTCTGTGTTGTGACCACATAAGCCAGGTTCTTCCCTCTACATCAGTGGTTCTCATCCTTCCTAACACTGTGACCATTTAATACAGTTCCTCATGTTGTAGTAACCCCAATCATAAAATTACTTTCATTAATACTGCATAACTGTAATATTGCTGCTGTTATGTATTGTAATATAAATATCTGACATTCGACCCCTGCACAGGTTGAGAAACACTGATATTAAGGAAGGGAAGGGATCATCTTTCCAAGTTTCTGATTGTTGTGGCCACATCCCTTTTCCTTAGAATCAATGTAGAAAACAGAGGAAAAGGGATTCAGGAATCAATCTGGGCTCATCTGAGAAGGCAAGGTGTGACAAGAAGGTGAGGTGTGATAAGGCGAGAGTGATGAGGTGAGGTATATTGATTAGCTAACACACATGGTGGGAAAAGAAGGCAAAGGCTGTTCTTTAGGAAGAGAGTGAACTTGACACACAAAACAATACACCTCTATTCTGTGATCTTCTAAGAAGGTAGGACTAAAGAGCCTCATATCCAAATAACTATAAATGGAAGACAAGACCATCTGGTAGTACCCATGTCATATCAGGCTTCGTATTGTCTTTGGAGCCAGCCTGGTATGGCTTGTGGGTCTCGTATCACTTTATAATTAAGATTCTTTGAGAGTTGAGGTCTCCAGGAAGGGAGTCCTTATTACAAATTCTTGCTGAGTTACTTACTGCATTAGGCAGCCAGCCAATGGGGCTAGAAGCTGCAACTTTGGTTATTTTTTTTCCTCCTTTATCTATTTCTGTCTTCACTTCCCCTCCTTACATTTGACACTAGAGGCTCTTGTCTGCATTTTCTGCAGCTAATACAACCTTCTTACTCACCCAGATTGCACTTGGAGAAAGTTCCTTACTTTTTGCATGTGAGATACTGTTGTATTATTTTTCTCATGATTGTAAAAAGTTTTAGAGAACACTGGAGCTTACTTCTCACCAGACAACGAAGCCAAGAGGCTCCTTATTTAGAAACGGGACAATTAAAAGCAGTTATCGCTGTTAACTATCTTTAGGATAATACTCAGCAGCCTCCCTTCTTCAGCCTTGAGTTTTCTGTAAATGCACAGACACCTAGAGTCAGTGATTCTTTAACCAAGCCCCATGTGCTTAGCAAGCATAATGGGCCTCATAGTTCACCCTCACTGTGTAAGAGATAGGTATTAGCTCCACACTCCAAGACTGAGTTCTCAGCACATAGATGGATTTGCCCCAGAGGGACACAAGGCAGGGATAAGGGACAAAGACAGAAGGAGGAAGAGGACGGTGGAGAAGGGGAGGGGAACAAGGGAGAGGGAAGAAAAGGGGTGAGGGAGAGGGGCAGGGGTAATTATCCCAAGGGACAAAGGACTGCTTCTGTATAGAGAGGAGACAGACATGGCCCATAGGAAAATGGTGGTTTATAAAGGTACAAGGGGAAACCCTGTGTGGCGATGAGGTTTAATTGGGCATGTTAATTAGGCAAGTCAAAGGGGGATTTTGGCCCTGGACTTCAGTACTTTGGTAGCTGGCCCTTGGTAGTCAGCCTCAGAAGGAGGAAGTGCCCAAATAAGGGACTAGACCCTGGTGGCTAGCTCTAGGAATGTAATCTAACAGGCCAAGAGGATGGGGGAGAATGGCAAGGCCTGCCAGAGCCACATGCTCAAGTGAGCTAGTCTCCCTTCACATGGCTCCTTCATAATTGTCACTCTTTTCTGAATTTCCTTCACATGTCCCTTTTCTGGGGCTTCAGGGAGTTGGGAGGGCAAAGAGTAATTCCCATCTATGTGAAGCAGGCCAGCTGTTGCTGATATCCAGCTATATGGATCATGTCAATCAAATGCTCAGGCTTTTTGGAAAGATCCCTTGATTGTTTTGCTTTTCCAGGAACATTACCAACATTAAAAAAAAATGATGCTGGGAGATAAGACATTGGATTTATAATGTTTATGATCTGCAAAGATGGCTAGCCAGGTAGAGTGTTTGGTCTGTAAAATACCATGACCTGAGTTCAGATATCCAGCAGCCACATTAAAAACTAGGAGTTGTGGTGTGCTTCTGTAAGCCTAGCACTGGAAAGATAGAAACAGATCCCAAGGACTCTGACCAGCCAGCCTAGCCCAATCAGTGGGCTACAGGTTCAGTGAGAGCCTGTCTCAAAAACACAAAGTGAACAGTGACAGAGAAATATACCTAACCCTGATCTCTGGTTTCTACTTGCACACACACACACACACACACACACACACACACACCACAGACACACACACACACACACCACAGACACACACACACACACACCACAGACACACACACACACACACAGGCTTACCACAGACATACGCACATACACACACCACACACACACACACACACACACACACACCACACCACACACCACACACACACACACACATACACAGGCATACCACAGACATACACACATACACACACACCACACACTCCTTATACTTTTTCAACAGTATCTTTTTATTCCCTATACTGTAAAAAAAAAAAAAAAAAAAAAAAAAAAAAAAAAAAAAAAAGAAATTTTAATGAATTTTTTAAAGAAAAAAAAGTTCAGAGACTGAGAAAAGATTATGCAAGTGAAAATTGCTGGATGTGTGAAAAATAATTTAGCTAAGGACTTCCTTTTAAGGAAATGGTACCAAATTTAGGTATATAAATCATGTTTTTGAAGTTTTCTTTACTGGAGAAGACTCTGTGTGTCTTATATTCAGGCTACACTCACAGCTCTTGATTACCAGAACATTCTCTCTCTCTCTCTCTCTCTCCACTCTCCCTCCTCTCTCTCAAGACAGGCAACTAATAATTGATGGGGGAAGGAGAATTAGCATCTTCTAGGGATGAACCCACTTATTGATTGTTCAATGCAGATTGGGCAGCCCTGAAGCCATCTACACATAATCAACAAAGATGGTGAACTTATACATATTTGTGCATATATTATATGTATGCATGAAAAATAATAATCAAAGATAAATAGGATCTCAACTTGAGGGTTGTGAAACATAGGAGGGCTGGAGGGAGGGTATCTGGGAGGGTTTAGTGAGAGGAAAAGGAAGGTAAAGTGATGTAGTTCTATGTCAATTAAAAAAATTAAAATTAAAATTTTAGGGTCAAATCATAGCATTCCTCAAAATATGGCCAAGTGAACTGTCACTTTCCCTTTCTCTGTACTAGGCTGTTTTGCTTCGGTTCTGCAAC